GTCTGTGATCAGAGATATCCTGGGCTGAATCAGAGTGCCGTAGAGCTCGAGAGATCCGTGAGGCATCCTGTGGGCCGGGTACTCCTAGTAACTCCGAGAAGAGACCGAAGACTACCAATACACTGCGAGAAGAGGTCAGTTCCCGACAGGTCGGAACTTCACGACTTGATCTTAGCTATATTAGGCCCAGGGATTCACTAAGAAACTTCGTGAGAATATACCAAGTTTGAGGTGGACCGGCAGGATCACTGTGAGCCACTGAATGTCGAGGTTTCAGGCAATACTGTATTCAGATCCCGAGATCTCCGAATCTCAGTCACAATCGCGGCGGGTCTCGGGTGTGTGCCTTTCAAGTCTCTGGATTCGGCAGTTCCTGTGCTTAGATCAACAACACTTTCTGCATGGCGGACTCGCTTGGGAATAGCGGACTCGACACCTCCTTCAAGGTACGAGTTTCGATTTGCCTTGAGATGTCTCCTCAGGCTCGCCCAGCGCCCCCTTCGACCCGGCGTCCCCACGCTGTTCCTCTCGGTCCATTGAGATCGTCAACTAAACCCAAGAGTCCGAATCTAAGGACTCGAGCTCGGTCCAAGATAACACCGTAAGGCACGACCGAGGCTTCGAAACACATTCTTGCAGGAATTACATTGGGGAAGGCAGCAAGAATGGGGACCATAAGTTCATTGCTAGACCGGTGCCCAGACGGATACTCGAAGAAGTTCAATTCACCGTGGACCTGGGGCCGGAGAAAGTGACGGTCCCTCACGGCCCAGAGTTCAGTACGTCCCTGTTCAATGTCGTTGAGACTTAGAGTGCTTTCAGACACAGAGAAGAGATCCCTCGAGCGAAGCATGCAAAGGAGTTTCATGTCCAGTGACGAATCTGTCGTCACCTCCACGCGCTGGGCCTCTGGAAAGTATATCGACACTTCCTCTATTCTGATCGGCGATGATGCCTCTGAGGCCACCGCCCCAAGCGAAGCACCCCTGTAAGCATCCTCAGCAGGGTAGATGAACCAATTGCATGAATATGTATCAATTCGTGCATGCCGGGATGGCAGTTGCTGCCAGTAGGCGGATTAGCATATCTAATAGGCAATGTAGCGTTCTTGTCTGATGTGTTGAGTTGGATTTAGTAGTGAACGGACGAATGAGTAACCATTTTGAACGGCATACTGTGAGCAACCTGTCCGACTGATAACAGTGAACCCTGGGAACAGCGGAGAGTGAGCGTATCAGATCTTGTAATATTGTGCATTAAAATCGATGAAAGCCCATAAACGGTGAACGCCAACTGCGCTCGCCACTCTCAAATGTTCATCGATTCTCGCTCTGGGGCTCTCCAGTGCAAAGTCTGTACACTTTTACTCATTATTAGACTATTTAGCGTAAGCGATGAGGTTTGAAGGAAATCATCTACATCATCGCATGAGTAAAAGCCAACATAAAATTAAATATAGCAAAAACAAATTGTGTCGCTTACATGATGCATGGAGTTCTTTTCGACATGATGCAGCTAGACCACTCCCCATAGCAAGCAGAGTCGTCAGAAAGGATATATACTGTACCAGATGTGCGACGGGATCATCCCGTAGTGGCGATAGCGTATGATGCGCGGTTCGCGGCCCAACAAAGAGCCTCTCACATTAATCATTCAGGTAGTTTTTTATTATGTTAGGAGGCGATCAAGGCATGAGCTTCTCCCAACTGATTCGTTTAAGATCGAGTTTCGCACTCTCTGCTACTCAACATCAACGCAACAAAGGTATTGTCACATTCAAGGGACATGTTCATTTTCGGGAAGTGGCCCTCGAACCAGAAGATGAAGACACCGTTCGCGTGGTGCGTACACCACTTGAAGACGCCCGAGTGGTGCCCACAGGTGGCAAATGGCTGCGTATGATCTCCGCCTTGGGCTGGGAGTGCTGATCGAAAATCACTGGACGCTGCTGCTTCTTTGCAGCTTTTCTTTCCTTCTTGATTTGCTCGGCGATATCGCGGAGATCAGCCATATAGGCGCATATGGCTGAGGCAATCTCCGAACCAATAAAACAGCTGTCTCTCGTCACTCGATAGTTGCTTCAAAGCGCAATCAGTTTTCTTGCGATATTCCTGCATTTCCAACTCCGCCTTCTGTTTCTGAGATAACCCAGTTCCACGGGAAGCTTGAGGGGCCGGACCCCAACCTGAGCGGACCCGTAAGAAGCGTCGTTGAACGGCAGGCGTCACCTGTTGAAGGGTCCGCATCCTCGTCCTCCTGTATAGAGCTGCCATGTTGCGTCTGAGATTTCTGCGTAGTACACCTGATCCCATCGACTCAGACACACTCGTTCTTCGCAACCACTGACCGTTTGAAAAGGTTTTCCACGCTAGCCACGATTCGAGCGAGAGTCAGCCGAAGCCCTGCATCTTCCTCAGAGGCTTCCTTTACCTCCTCATCCAGTCTGACCAGGCGGCGAGCAAATCAGAGAAGTCATAATTCCCTCTTACTCCATAACGCGCTTCTCGATATCCTCGAGATCAGCCTGCAGAGAAGCCGCCCGATTGGTGGCCTCCAGTATCTCCATCGCCTTCCTCTTGTTGTACACGCTAAGCTTCGTTCTCATCTCCTCCGCTCGTCCATCGAGGTTGGACTGGGCTGCCCGTAGATCAGTATTCGCCATCTCCAGCGTGTGGTATCTACAGTCATTCATATCATCCGATACCTTTCCTCCAACGCTCCCTCTGCCTCAACCCTGTCCCTTGTATGCGATAACCCCATCGCAAACATCAGCACCCAGAGCAGTCCGTCCCCAACACCCACCTAGCGAGTATATCCTGTATCTCTGAGAACTCCTCCGAGCTGTCTCTTACGAGCTCCAAGAAAGTTTTATAGCGAAGATCTACAGAAGAAAATTTTCCCCCCGTCGGCATTTCTCGATCACTCCTAGCAACTGCCTGACGGAGTTCCTTATGCATCCGATGAGACTCTGTCAGTTCCCTGCCGAACAATCAACTACAAACCACGGCAACAATTCAGCCGCTTCCTCAGCGTCACCGTTCCATATCCTTAATTTCCTCCCCCTTTATTGCGATCTGATGAACCTCCTCTCCAGCTCTCAGCTCAGCTCGACGACGCTTCCCCTCGTTATCCTACCAAGACAACAAACACAATAGACCCACTCTGGCGGTTCCTGATTTAACCTGTAGGAATTTGTTGTATTGCACTAGCTGATGCTGAAGATGCAGATCTCGTGCTCTGATATCATCCTCAACTTTTTGAAATGTCTCCTCTTCATTTGCGTATCTCCAAAGTGAGTTCCCTCAGCGCCTCACTGAGCGGCCTACTTCGCTTTCTGAGTCTCCAAAACGTCATTAACGTCGTACATCTCCCGACGCTTCTCGAGGAGCTTCGTGATCGGCGACGAGGAGTAGCTGCTCGGACCCCGGTCCTCAACATGCTCAGCATCTTCCTCCGCCGTTATAAGGTCTTGCATGGGGCGCAGGAGCTAGCTAGACCCAACTCGTTCGAATTGATCGACTTGAACTCAAGATGATGATCGTGACCGGGGTACTACAGCATTCCAACAGCTTTGAATACCACGCGGTAACGGCAATAAAATAAATGATGAACTTGACCATCATCGAAGAGCACAGCCTCCGATGTGGTTGCCGTTTCCATTTCCAGCAAATATTACAGAGCAAATCACCAACTTCACATAGGCACGATGGCCATTACTTTATTTAATATCGTGTGCTGTTACCACACTTTCGCCAAATTCTCACTGAGTGACCCTCTGCATCTTGTAGGGCCGTCCAGAATCTCCATCACCTCCGTTGGAGTCAGTATGAGCCATCGAGCTATCGAGCTCCTGTCCATTGGCGGGGTCAACCCCAGCAGCCGCAGCTGCAGCATTGGCCGCGTCCAGCATGCCCGAGGCCGCGAGCATAGCTTGAACCACATCGTTGGCAGTATCACGAGGAGAGGTAGTAGATGGGGGACTAGACGGGTCCGCTGGTGGGACTACAGCCTCCTCGCTCGAGGGGGGATCTCCACGAGACTCGGGAGGCACGGCAGATCCTTGAGCACCCGAAGCCTCCGCAGGCATGTTGTTGTCTTCGGCGAGAACACCGGCGGCTTGCTGAATGTATTGGTTCAATAACAGGATCTGCTCAGCCGTGCCGGTAGAGTAGTCCGGATGGGGAACCTGATAACAGCAAACTGCATGTTGAGACAACAAGACTGGACACCGTACCTCAGTGGCCTCAGTGGCACCCTGCTGGGCCGCCTGTGCAGCAAAGAAGAGGGGCAGATTAAACGGAGGGCCGCCCTCGGCCGCTGATGGGAACATGCCAGGTGGGGGAGGCGGCAACATCATCCCACCAGGCGGCATCGTTTGCAATGCGAATCTGATGAACACAACCATCAAGAGCAGAAGCAACGCGCCTCAGGGCTTACCGTGTAGTCCCTGATACTGACCCCTTGGGGCGGCCTCTAGCCCTTCGGTCCCCATTGGAACGCTCTCCCGGCATTAGCCCGCCGACGCATCCCTCCAACGCCAACGTTCTCTGATAATCGACCTTCAGCAAAACCACCTCCTCCTCAGCTCGGCCTGGAAAATAAACATATTACGAAATCGCCATCCTATACATATACCCACCTTGCGCTTTTGCCACCAACAGCCTCTGGCGGTCGTTAATGGCCTCATCGAGGGTTTGCCGCGGGGGTCCTCGAATGTTCCGCCGATTCACTGATACTTGTGCTTGATAACAGTTAGATTCCGGTTTGAAATAGACTCCAGCGGGAAGCTTCTCATCAGGATTCAGCGACTTCCGCTTAGTGCTGCGAGCCTTCGGACCACGAAGTTCGTGAACAATCTGAAGACTCGTACGTCCTCCTACACCCCGGACGCACATGGGCTACCGTCATCAGCTCCTCTTCAGAGGTTGCCGACGCCATTTTAGCCCTGTCCGAGATGGCTTCGGCGAGGGTCTGCCTCGCAGGACCGTCAATCTGATCAGCAGCAACAGCAGCAGCAGTACGTCAATATGGGAACCACGAGCATCGACAACCTACCTTGGCCGTAGTGGGTTTAGGGGGTACCACTGTGCCCGGTGGAAGGACGGACGCCGGCGTCGGCGGGACGTGGCCATCAAACTCCCCTCGTGTGGCTGACAAGGCTTGAGCCAGTTCACGATGCCTCGCTGCTGCAGCTAACGGGCCTGGCTGACGATTCGCGGCCGAGATGTTAATACTGGCGATCTGCCATAGACGGCCATGGACCAATGCCGGAGCCCAGCGAGCGACCCTACATAGGCCTTCTTGCGCTTATGATAGTAAACTCCTTTTGGTAGCAGTTGAGAATGCAGATCCCAGCCGACCAATACCTACAGGGGAATTGTAGCAGAGTAGTTGAACCATGTGAGCATACCTCTTCGATGTTGCCCTCCATCTTGGCCCTCTCAAGCGTGAACTTGTCTTGTTCGGCCTCAACTATAGTGAGTAGCGACATACATGCACTTAGAGAGTAGTTAGAACTCACTTTGTGATTGACGCTTCGGCCCTCGAACTTTCTTCCCAGGATACAACAATATCTAGAAAAACACAGTTCACACCATTGTAGACGGGACGATGGGCATTCACCTCAGCTTGATAGATCTTCTTACGGCAGGTCACGATGGCCTGTCCTTGGCTGAGGGCATCTTGCTGGCTTCTGGCTCCAGATGAGTGTAAGTGAGGAGGAGTCCCGAGGCCCACTCCCGATGCCCTGCATGATGACCATCAATCACACCAGTCGAGATGGCAGTGACAACGTACCGAACGGGGAAAGGGGTGCTCGGGTGGTGACGGACGGTCATCCCCGGGGTAGTCTGTGGGACCTCAGAGTTGGGGCTGGCATCAGGTATTATAGCATCACCCTCGCTGGGTGGAGGGAACATGTTGGCGATGTCGATGTGGGATTCTGAGGAGGACGATGACGGGGAATAGTTAACGATCGCTATAGGGGCGCACCTGTGCTGGGGCGCACTCCGACATCTACTCCAACGTGAGCCGATGAGGTGGGTGTCTGAAAGGATGACCGTATTCGGACCTATTGTGCATCTTGCTGGATCGGAGGTAAAGATACGCCGAGAGTAACATGAACTGTG